AAAAGGCGGTGAGTGTCACGAAGGAAGCTGTAAAAGTTAAGAAGGATGCATGGGCTCAGTATGGGGTTTCTATTATGACTGATGCTTGGAGTGATAGGAAGAGAAGAAGTCAGATGAATTTGCTTGTGAATTGTCCTTTAGGGACTGTTTTTTTGAGGTCTATTGATGCCTCTAATCATATCCACGATGGCCATTACATATTCCAAGTTTTAGAGAAAGGAATCAAGGAGGTTGGGGAGCATCATGTTGTACAGGTTGTCACAGACAATGCTGCTCCTAATGTTGCTGCAGTTAATTTGTTGCGCATAGATTATCATAGAATCTTTTGGATACCGTGTGCAGCTATTTGTATAGACCTCATGCTTGAGGCTCTTGGCGGTTTAACCGAGATATCAAGTGCAGTGAAGAAGGCAAAGTCAATTACAAATTTCATTTACGACCACCATCTCTCCCTCAGCATGATGCGTAGATTTACAAAAAAGAAAGCGATCGTGAGGCCTGGGATCACGAGATTTGCGGCCTGGTACTTATGCCTAGATAGCATACATTTGAGGAGAGTGCAGTTGAGGCAAATGTTTACCTCGGATGATTGGAGAGCATGCAAGTGGTCCAAGGATTAGGTTGGGAAGAAGGTAAGAGATATTATCCTTTCTAAGACTTTTCGGAGACGGGTGAAGGGCGCTCTTAAGGTATTTTTCCCCCTTGTCAACGTCTTTCGCATGGTTGATAGTGACAAGCCTTCTATGGGTTATATATATGAGACTATGGAGAAATGCAAAAGAGAGATAGCCTAAAATTTTGATGATGATAAGAATTGCTACAAGCCTGTTTGGGAGATTATTGATGAGAACTGGGATAGGCAACTACATCGGCCATTGCATGTAGCTGGTTATTATTTTAACCCAGCTCTTTTTTATGTTGACAAGGATATACACACAAATGACTGGATTTAATAAGTGTGTAGATGGGCTAGTCCCTTATCCTGATATCCAAGATATTATATGCGCTGAGGAGCTAATAAATTACAAGTGCGAGGATTGATAGAGAGAAAATAGGGGCTTGGGAAAATCATGTAAGTTAGAGAGAGGTCTTTTTTTAGTTATATGTTTATCTTTTTTTTTAATCTATTTACAGGGAGTTGGCCCTTAGAAAAATATCAGTAAAAAATGCTCCAAAAATCATAGGTAAAAGCTCATGGAAACTAGATCAAATAGTGCATGGATGATGACATCGAGAGATCAATGTAGATTCAAAAGATCAATGATCTAACATCAAATGATGAAGATAACTTGTTGTAATTAGGAATTTACAGCAAGAAGAATCAACTAGAATCAAAGGAAATTGAAGAGATCTTACTCAATTGGTGAAGGCCGATAAGATCATCCATGGCTTGAATTTGAGCTTTGGATTCCCATTAAGGGAATTATTAACGAGCTTCAATGGAGCCTTTTGTCACATCATCTTCAAACCAATAATCAAGAGAGAGAAAGGAAGAGGAGAAAGCCTTTGGGCGTGCACACTAAGGGGTAGAGAGAGAGAATGGCATGAGAGAGGGAAAGTGAACTGATAGGTGTTGAATAAAGGCTTATAGGGGTATTTATAGGCTTCTAACCATTGAGTGTATAGATGCTTCTAGATTGATGAATCTTGGCGTTCCATATCATCATTCAATGGCTACAAAGAGAGGCTCGACCTAGCCCACCATCTACCATTATGCCATCAAGATGTGTGGTATAGATTTAAACACCTTTATTCTCCTTTAATTCACTCCAATTTCCCTTGTTATTAAAATGCCCATGCTTTTTACATCTAATTAAACTAAAAACTAAGATGGGGTTATACCCTTACGGTATTTTGTCAAAATTCCAGCAAAAAATAAATCTCAAAAGTTCCCTCCATTTTATAAGAGCATGTGAGGCTAATGAAGTCATGCCACATAAGCTAGGTTGTTAATTGCATAATTACCATATACCCTTAGGGTTAGGCTTGTAATTATAAACCCTATGCCCCTTCATACATGTGTACAAACCCTTTGCTTTTTCACATTTAATATGTGCCAAAAATATTTTTTCAAAATCACAATATTCCTTAAAATACCATAATACAATGCCCTTTACTTAATTCAACATAAATCAAAGGATCCCCAAGAGGAGTTGGCATCACCCGTCATCCTCCACATGGGGTGACATGGGACCCCCAAGCCTCCATGTGGACACCAGTTGGCCATTTGGGTGTCCCGTGTGGGTCTTGAGCCACCTCATTTTGTTGTGGGGCTTATGAGCAAGAATTTTGATTTTCTATTATATATTCTTCCAAATATGACAATGCACCATTGCAACACTCTCCACCTTGATTAGAAATAAGTATCTTAATTTTTATGTCTAACTGAGTATGGATCATCTCATGGAAGACCTTGAGGATATTAGAAACCACATCTTTGGTTTTCATAAGATAGATCCATATACCTTGAGAGAAATCATCCACCAAAAAAGAAAAAACAGAAAAAAACACAATCCTAAATGTTTATATAATGTTTGGAAAGTTAGCATACTTCTTATGGAAGCTCTGATACACTAGTTGAAGTAAATAATTTAGGAACAAAATTTTGGCAAGCCAAATGCCAATTCTGAGGTGCCGCTCCAAATCTGATCTTTATTAACATTCGTGATAGCTTGAAGAGCTTGTGGAATAGTATTAGGCAAGTCCGGAATGTAGAGACCACCAGCCTCATGATCATTTTCAATTGTATTCCTTGAATGCAGGTTTTTTAAAACACAGTGGTAAGGAAAGGTTCACCTAGAATTGACAATCCTAGTAATACCACTAATAGAAAACTTTGTAGCAAAGCCTTGGATGTGAAGAATTAATGACAAAGAAAATTGAGGGAAAAAAATTATAGCTCCTTTTCCTGCGATGGAAGAAAAAGATCCATCCGTAATTCTAACTTTATCTCTATTAGAACAAATGGAATAAGAAGAAAACAAGGGAGACATACTTGTCCTTAATCAATTATCCACGATTGTCCAGAAGGATAAAAAGAGACATGATTAATAGAAGCATGAATACCTGAGTAAGCAAACAATCAAGTATAAGTAGTTAATGGACCATCAAACTGAGCAAACAAGTAGCATAAGCTCTCAATTTCCTATCTACGAACTAATATCATCTCCTTTGAGGTATGGGGTGAGGGTTGAGTTGCATAGGGTAGTGTCTGAACCTTATTAATAACTATTAAACTCCCAATGGATAAAACATTATGTGCATTAAACTGCCTAGGACAATTAAATTAATCAATAAAGCATTATGCATTTAATTATTTTAATTTAATGTGATCTGCAAGCATGTTTTAAGGTAAGATAATGGCCAATTTTAGGTTAAATCATTAAACTATGGTTTACAATGTATAAACCGAGGAAATCTACTCATATCTCTCAACAATTTCCTATTTATAGACCAAATCCTAACCTAGATCTAACTTGGACTGTCCATTCTAAATCTAAATCTCTAGAACCTCAAAATAAATTACGAAACACTAACAAAATTAAAAACGTATCTCTAACAAATAAAGACAAGCTTACCTTTTATCAAAAGACAACACTCCCCCTAGACTGACTAAAACTTTAGCAGTCAATTTGAGGCATACAGGCATTCTCTAGCAAATCTGGCTGGCAAAATCGGCACATCATAATTTTCCCATGTAGAGGTTTTTGAGATCTTCGACATGAGTGGTCATAGGTGAAATTAGATAAAAAGGCAGAAAGTTATGTCCTCTGGAAGATGCCGTGCCCAACATTGCATCCCCACCAAACTTGATCGAAGGTAGCAGCCCGCACAAGCTTCTAGGACGTACTATCGTGCTGTTTGGATGCACAAACAGTACAGCCTCGAGAACATACTTGTTAGACTGAAGTAGAGTTCTAATATGCTGATTGGCTGCATTGGTAAGTGCAAAAGCGTAGTAATTCTTTTTTGACAGCACAAGCCTCGACCCTTCAAATTTTGACCTCAGCTCCCAAATTTAGGCCAATCACCTTAACCTGTGGACTTTATTAGGTTGAAACCTTGGGATACACAATTATTTTCTAATGAAAACCTCCCCAAATGAGCTCCTTGTTTTATGCCTCGAACAGAAGGGAGTGTGAGGATTGATAGGACATTAATAGAAAAAATCAAGAGTGTGTGGAAAAGTGACAATGTTATCAAGAAGAGATAGATGGGGTTAACCCAGACACAGAACATTATTCTCTCCCCACATATTTTATACCCACCTTCTCTCTTTCTCTCTCTCTCTCTCTCTCTCCTCTCTAATTTTTTTTTTTCTTTGATTGGTAAAGTATACATCTGTTAGCCTGCACTTTGCGTAACTACATGTCTACCATTTCTTTGACCTGCAATGATATCCCTTGTTGAAAACACAGATGCCTTGTGTGGTATTTCTGTAGTTTCCTGGGTTAATCATGAAACTACCCTGCCCAATTAAGATTCCCAAAGGATTGAAGTAGTTAGGGTAAAAAAAGTCTTGGTTGAGGTTAACAGAGCTTGAGAACATAAGAAGCACAAATGCAAATCTCATGGTACAAATACACATGTACAGTTCATTGCAAGCTACAATGTACATATACATACACAAACATGTAGATTATACATTCATACACAGACAATGATACATACAAGCATGTGAGCAAGTGTTTGGACGGTTGTCTGCATACTGTGCTGGTTAATCACCATTGTCGTAATTTACTCTTTAAAGATCCCCAATTCATCAAACATCCTCAAACTTCCCGATATTGTTACAGTTAATTCAGAAGGTATAGTTTTCAAATTTGAGGAACAATAATAGTAGCAAAATGCATGAGATGCTTACTTTGAGTATGCATTTTTTATTCACTTGAACAAGATGAGAATATCAGTCCTTTAAAGTGCAACAGTAGTTAAGAAGCGAAGTACATATCTTCTCTTGAAAAAATCAATCTGGAAGAATATCTCCTAACAGAAGGTACCTGCAATCCACCCTGAAAGGAAAATGAACCCCGCTGATGTTTTGGCTTTCTACGAGTAGCTTCATGCTTCCCTTTCTCTTCTCCTTTACTTGACATTTTTGACTTTATGACCCCGACTAGGATGGAACCAAACCTAATAAAAGAAGTATTTCAAAGTAATTGTGAATTATACAATCGCATAAGAAAACCAAAATGGAGCCATAGTATAAAAATCTTCCAAGCTAACCTTGCATATAGCCTAAAAAGGAACTGAAAATGCCAGGCACAGTTGAAAAAAAGGTTGCATATTCGTAGGATGAAGGTTTAAGGCACGTATAATAGGCATGAAGAAAAACAAAGTTTATCTTGAGAGATGATAATCCAATCGGACCAGAATTCCCAGAGAAATATACAAGAAGATTCTAAATTCGTTAATATATCTGAACAATCAAAAACAGATTTCCTATATCACACATACATCTCATTTACAATGACTAGAAAGACCATGACACCTTTTTTCATTTACAATGACTAGAAAGACCATACTACCAACAATGACCAAACTAATAGCCCAAATTTTTAGAAACAAAATAAGAAAAATTACAAACCATAGGAAATCATTTGAATTCCGCATTCAATCTTCTGTGGAAAATGAGATAAACGCTTCTAGAATGATTATAGGCCCAGGCTGACCAACAAGCAGTTAGTGATAGCAATATATGTCAGATTTTACTTGTTATAAAATCCACCTCTGTATTTCATATGCTGATGCAGCACATGATGTTAAGCTCAATGATTTTCCAATGTGTCAGGGAATCAAATTTATACCAGGAGAAGAAAAACTAACCAAATTACCATCAGCCAAAAAGTAGCTGATGTGGTTATGTTCCTGGGTTCTACAGTACATATAATATGTTCTCGCTCATAGGGAACAATGTAAAATATTGAGAACGAAAAATAGTCTAGGCAGCTAGTGTCTGAAGCAATTTTCATATGGTAATTAGCGACCAGTCAATTATTGTTTAATAGTTGGCTCCAATGACAATTGACATTACCATATTTATTATTCTGAACAGCCTACAACTGTATTACTAAGTCACATCAATAAATGGTCATATGCACGCATATCTATGTGGTGTTGTACAGCAAGTCTATATGCAGCCTTAGGGGAGTACTAATGATAAGCACTTGTACACCGAAGAATACATTCTTTTTGTGTCATGAAATAGCCGTTTCATCACTTACAATTTTCCTTTTAGAGTCCAAAATGCTGCATAAACCTGAATGTTCACATTTTATTGGTGATTTTGCCATTTTTCCTAAAATTGCTAATCCCTACTTCTCTCATTATCTTGCTCCCTGCCCACTAGAACATTTTCGCTACATGAAGTTTGCCACTGTTGGGGTTTGTGACCGTTAAAGGCCATGAGAGCATGTAATTAACATTTATAGTGGATTATAGACTTCGGTGGGTGTGTGTGATGTTTGACTGACCAAGGGTTAAGCAATCTATGGACTTGGTCATATCCAAATCCCTTACCCTCAAGCATGTGGCACTATTGGAAAAGGCTTACAGAGGGTCAACGCTTGTTGAGGTTCGAGAAATGCCCAATGATGAAATTTAGGTCAGAAGAGCTATACAGTCTCCTGTTTGCGAATGAGTGCCTGTGAAAGCGAGGGATAAATCCTCAACAAACTTCCACATAATATGTAATATGATAGCCGCACTACCGGGAAGCAACCTTAAAAAGGGATACGTGTGCAGGTGTATACAGAGTCCCCCTTTGCACTATAATAACATGTGCTTAGCAAAAGGGAGAACTGTAATCCACATTCCGGAGTCATGGTTTCAGTGTTTATTGGTCAGCTTTGACAAGCCAATCATGAGCCCTTGCATAAGATTGTGGGCCATGGGCTTCGTTGGGTTCGTTTGAGAAAGTTGTGGATCATAGTTATTCGGTCGGGTGGAGTGCCCTTATGGCCACTTATTTTTACATATTGGTACCAATCCACTTCTAGATATTTTATTTTTAGCACTAGAAATATTTCTGTGAAATTTTTAGATATTTTTCAGAATTCTTAAATTAGGTTTTGCTGAAAATTCATTAAAAAGGGCAGTTTTGAAATATTGTAGTATGTAGGGGCACATGCGAGGCCCATGGATCCAACCCCAAATGTGTGCCACAACCTATGGATGGGAGTGGGCCCCACATGTCACCCATTGGGGTGGCACCACCCTCTGCTTTCTTGATTTAGAATTTTTGTTTTAATTAAAATATCATCTTGATCAGATGTTATTAACCTCAAAAGATGTAACTGGTCTACCTAATTTGTAGGAATTATTTTGAGATAGATTTGACCAAGATATTTTATTTCGACTTCCTACAATTTTAAAGAGATAAATAAAGAAGTTCTATAAGGTTTTTAGATCAGTCTAATCATAATTAGACAAGAAGTGGATATGAGTTATTTCCTAATTATTCCTCCCTCAACCGTGATGGCTAATTTATGACATTGATGGCTCAGATTTATTTTCTTTCTCACCTTATAGATTTTCTAGATTCCTATTGGTCAAGATGAGTCATAATTGGATAGGCATACTTAGGGGGGTCATGAGGCCTATAAAGGAGGTGAATTCCCCTTCTCATTTTACACAATTTGCTAGCGTCTCTCTCCTAACTCTCTCTCCTCCACACCCCACTCTCTAGTCTCTCTCTAACCTCTCTCTTTGTCTCTCTCTCTACATGGCAGGCCACCTCATAAAGATCAAGGGGTGGAAAGCACCACCATAACTAGGGTTAAGAGTGAGGATCACGCCTCCCCCTAGAAATGGAGGTGCATAGGAGGTTTCAAAGGGTTTCTAACAAAACCCTAATTTCTTTATGCTTTCTAAACCCCAATTTAAAAGTATTGCATAAAGAAGCTTCTTAGCTCTAAAAATTCAGCAAGACCATTAGGACCGAAGTGCATCATTAGTCAAGAAATCGCGTATTGGGGTGTACTAAGTCATATGGAGGTGAACCCAGGTACATTCGATCGAGTAAGCCTTCCCAGTTATTAGCTTTTAGCCATATTTCCAAGTTTACTCTGAATTATGGTACCTAAGTTCTTAGTGGAAGCGTGGTTTTTTTTTGTTTGTTTGTTTTTGATGCTGTTAACTATAATGGAAGCGTGGTTTTTAGTCTTGGATTGTGTTTATTTACTTTGACAGTAAAAAGAAAGGTCCTAGGTTGGATTTAAGGCTTTAATTTTCATTTACAGCAGTGTAATGTGACACTTGTAAGTGGAATTCAGATTTAATAATAAAGAAAGAAGAAATATATTTGATTTTGTACTCTTGAATTCCACATAGTCACATCTTTCAGCCACCAACTTAAAAGAGTTTTAACTTGGTTTTGGGGCAAAACCCTAACATTTAGTGGATCTTGGACAACAAAGAAAGAAAATGTATTGAGGTCACCTCGCCAAAAAATGATTAACACCAAAAGAACATGCAAGAATTAACATCAATAATGGCACTGAGTTCTCCATACCGGCGTTCAAGATTCAGAATCTCTGGAAATGCATGGCGCATCTGTTTTGGAAGGAAGAAAAAAAGTATTAATAGATACCTTGCATTCCTATTTTGAAAACGTAACAAGATTCACAATGTTCATATTCAAAGAAAGAGGTCATGGAGGAGGATCCATAGACTCAAGAATGAATAACATAAAATGAAAATGTGCCCTGAATCTCTGCATACTTGGCAAGTTAAGCATAGGTCAGTCATCTCTTTGTTAGTCTATACAATGTTTGCCTTCGAGTAATATGTAATTCCAAGTTGCCATTCAAAGAGAATCCCATGGATTTTCCATCCAATCTCATGCTGGGAAGAAATAATATGCACTTATACCCTAATAATGGATACCATTTAAAATAAAGACCAAACTAGAACTTACATTGAAACAGAAGAGAAACCAAAGATTTGAAATGTAACAGAACCTCCCTAAGATATAACTGCTGAGAAATATCCACCACCATGTAATTTTATTCAAGATGGCCAAGTAAATAATCTACCAAAGTTGACTAGGAGAATGATGTAAAGTAAAATTCTTATCGCCAACTTCTCTCTACCATACAAAACTCAAAATCCTTAAGGATAATATTTTCAAATTTATCTTACTGTCATTAGCATTTGCTAGTTTTAATTGCTATCTTATATGAAAAGAAAGGTATTAATTATGAACCCACATATAAGGTGATCAAGTATGCATCAAAGAAGCATGGAACTAAGGAAACAATGGAGCAAGGAGGGACTATTATCTTGCTGATTTTGATGCAAACTAGAGGCAAAAGGATTGCAATGGAGTGGCATGGAGGCTCCTTGGGTTGAGGGTGATGGACTACACAAGATACCTACTCAATAAGAACACCATAGGTAAGTCTCACCATGCTCTCTAAGAAAGGCATGCCTCTTTTTCTATCTACATCTATATCTCTCTCTTAAGTCTCTTTTTGTGACCTCAACGTGTGGCTCTCCATGAATGCCTTTTGATAATTAACAAAGTTAGGGTTCATGGAGTACTTATAGGCCAACTAAGAGAAAGTTTCTCCAGAGCATTTTTAGACCTTCGATTAAAAGCATCTATGGTATGAGAGAGAGATGATCCTAGCCATTCATCGGACATCCAGCTATCTTTGATGTGTGGATGGGATTAAAACGCCTTTATCCCCATTTGTCTCAAATTCTAGCTCAAAATTTCCCTCTACAAATTAATTTTCAAAATCCAAATTCAAATAAATCAAGATGAGAATCTCAACGGTGTTTTAATAAAAATGTAAGAAGAAAAGCATTTTTTTTTTTTTGCGAATTTAACATTGTATTGATGGGAGAAAGAGTACAGAGACAACAACCAGCCCAAGAGGGTGTGCGAGTCACCGAGAAAGGTGACAAAAGCAAAAAGGAGCAAAAGATGAAAATAAATAAAAAGTAAATAAAAAACTGCGGCAGACTTCAGGCACTGCTCTATAGGACCCCCGGATACTCCATAGCTGCTCTCAATTTAAAAAGATCATCAGCTATGCAATTGGCTTCCCTCCGGATATGAGTCCAAGAGACCTATGTACCCCTGCAGTGATTGTAAATTTCGTCAAAGATGTGTCAAGGTCTCCAAGGGGGTTGTGCTAAGTGAGATGCCCAGTGAATGATGTTCTTTGAGTCCCCTTCAATGATGAGCGAAGGCCCCCATAACGGATTGAATCGTTTGACGCCCTCGAGCAAAGCTCGCGCTTCAGCATCTGTGGAGTCAGTGAACCCAATGGAAGATGGGTAAGATATGAGGGTGATGCCGACATGATTTTGGAAGATGTCGCCAATCCCAGTAAGGCCAGAATTGCCCAAAGAGGAACCGTCGAAGTTGAGCTTGATAACCCTCTCGGGTGGTCTAGGAGATCTTGCGGGACTCGTAGAAGAGGAAAATTTTAATTGAGGTGAAAATTGTGTGCCACCATACCTTTGAAGTGATTGAGGTTGGATGCTCAAAAAATGAGCAGACCCTTAATGGTACCCAAGATCTTGTGGTTAGGAGTGTAGGTCCCTTGAAAGATCTTATTTTTGCATTCCTTCCAGAGGGACCAATGGATGCCGCCACTGTGGCTTTCCAAAGTAGCACACCGGCTTTGGGCCACAGTAGGAAGGTCGATAACTTGAAAAGGTCAGGGTGCGATTGAGGAGTAACACATACCCAGTTGAACAAGGATAGGATGTCTTTCCAAAGCTGTGAAGCCACCGGGCAATGCAGAAGAAGGTGGTCAATTGTTTCTTCATCAGAGAGACACATCACACATCTATTGGGTAGCTGAAGCCCCTCTACTTTGAAGTTGATCGATGGACAGAATTCTGCCCCAAAGTGCCAACCAAGAGAAAAACTGAATGCGCGCTGGTGTGAGGACCAAGGGAAGGAGGGAGAGGAGCAGAGGAGGCTAAACAAAGAGAGCGGAAAAGAGAGGCTACCGAGAAACTCCCTGAGGGGGGTCCAAATCACACGATTTGGTCCAAAAGTGAAAGAGGGTAGGGAAGAGAGAAGAGCAGAAAGACTAAAGAAAGAGACACTCTTCCTCTCACCAAAGACGCCTGAAGTCCGGGTTCCAGGGGCGGTGGGACCCGGAGAGAGCGAAAAGCTCTGCAACGGATGCCAAAGGGTTTTTGGCTAAGCGAAAGAGAGAAGGAAAGAGTGAGGAGAGCGAGGATTCCTCCACCCACAAATCCACCCAAACCTAACTTTGGACCCGTCACAAAAATGGAATCTAATTGAAGATTTGAAGAGAGGGAGAGCATGAGCAATAGATTGCCAAAAACCCGAAACAGGCTAGAGAGAGGTGACTAGAAAATACTAGAGTGAGGAGGAAAGTCGGTATTTGGAACATCGGATTTGATGCCAAAGGCCACCCCCTTGGGTGGCTAGTCTCCACCACCACTTTGCATAGGAGAGCAAGGTTCAAAAGCTTGAGGCTGTGGACAGCTTGGCCTCCCATAGATCTGGGGGAACAAACTGTCTGCCAGGATGGGAGATGAAATCTTTTGGAGTTGCCATCGCCTGACCCAAGAAAGTTGTGCATAAGTTGCTCGAGATGGGCTCGTACTAGCCAAGAGATGAAAGAGAGACATTTGAAAAATTGGCATCCCAGAAAGGACGACTTTGATTAGGGTAAGTCTCCCTGCAGGGGAAAGATACGTTCCTTTCCATGAGGCCAGTTTCTTTTCAACCTTGTCAATAATATGGCTCCATTACAATTTCTTAGGTTTGCCGAAATAGAGTGGCAAACCATTCAATACCACATCCCCAGCTATCTGCAAACCAAGGTAAGTCGTACGTAGAGAAGAAAGCTAGGATGCCTAGGAGCATTATTCCTAGTGACGATTAAAGATAGCCCTTGGGAAACCGTCCAGGCCCGGTGCACATTCTTGACCCAAGGCCTTGTGTGCTCTAAGGATTTCCGTTTCACTCTACCTTTATGTAAGAAGAAAAGCATTAGCACTGCTTTATTAATAACTTCCTCACTCTACTTTTATGAGATTCTTAATCAAGATATTTCTCTCACAGTAAGCTAGCTCACACGTAATTTAAATAGGATATTGATGCACGGCACAGGGGTCGAGATGCATAAATTCTATCATAGGGTTTTGATAAAGAAAATATCTAGCCCTAAGGGCCTTCTAGATAGTTTCACACGTGACAATGTGTACAATGAGCCCATGTGTATATTGAGAAGATTAAAAAGCCATGCCCAATAAAAGGATCACCTAAATTGTAACATGTACAAAATTAGACGACAACCAAATACAAGCTTAACTACACATTCCACAATGCTAGCAATGTCTGGGAAAGGGGTTGTGGTGCCCATTGGCCATTTGAGCTCCAATTGTAGAGTACGTTTGTAGCACAAATATCTGATGATGCCAGTTAGCAAACACAAAAGCTTGTAGCATAAATGCTAGATAATGCCAGTTAGCAAACACACAAGCTTTCAAAGGGGATTCTAAAGAAAAACTATGTATATGACAATGATGCAAGACAAATTATTCTTAATTTTAATTTTATTCCATTTCAAAAGATGTATATATTTTATTTTAGTTTTAAGGTTTATTTTTAGGTTTTTTAAGGTTTTTAGGGATCTTAGGGTTTGTTTTATATTTTATTTACTATTCACTGGTTACTATTTATGAGTATTGTGTATGGGTACTATTCATACGCACTGATCACGGGTTATTATTGTTCACAGGGGTAAAATTGCCATTACAAATGTAGCATTCCAATTTGAAACTTTTTGATGATTTTAATTATTGTATGGACGTTAAATGTCTTTGAGCATTAAACTATAATATATAAAAGGTGGTGGACCCTTGAGGAGGTCATTCTACATGACTTTTAGTAATTGAAAGACAAAGAAAAGCTTAGGCTTTTGGAACCCTAACTTAGGGTGAGGACGAAACCCTAGGTTTCTCCCAAGTTATTGCTTGTGCTTGGCTTGTTTTCTAGTCGATTTTATTGTTCCTTCAAATTTCCCTGCATCAAATTGATATCAAAGTCTAGGTTCGCTTCAATAACAAAGCTGCGAATATACAGCCAAGCCTAAGGTTTGCTGATTTTGGACCAAGTTTTGCCACATCAGCCTAGATTTTGTTGATTTTAGCAGGTTGTTTGTGATCATTTGCCTAGGTTTTATAATTTCAACAAACCTAGGGCGACAAGAAGGGCCTGTAGGAGGGGAATTTGTAGACCCACTCTATGATTCCAAAGATGATATAATTGAGGAACTTGAAAGACAGGTTCAACAGCTGACGCAACACTTCGTAAGCCTCAATAATAGGTAAGACGATGGTCTTTCAGCACAAGAGGATCTCAAATGTAACCTTTTTTATCGTTGTGATCCGCGTGCGGAGCAGAGTGATAAAGATAGTGATTGGAGACCTAAATGTGGGGAACATTGCTCTAGGGATGTTGATTCGAAGGTGGATATACCTGATTTTGATGGTAAGCCTCAACCCGAGGAGTTTACAGATTGATTAAATATAGTAGAAAGGGTTTTTTTATTATAAGGAGGAATCTGAAAATAAAAAGGTCAAAATTATTGCTATAAAATTAAAAAAAGCCTTGGTATAGTGGGAACAACTTAGGGCCAGAAGAGAGAGAATGAAAAAACCCAAAATTAATTTATGGGAGAAGAAAAAGAAAGTAAAAGAAAAAGACCTACCTGTAAATTATGTGCAGTCCCTCCATTATAAGATGAATAATCTTCGTCAACAAGAAAAGAATGTAGATGAGTATATCGATGAATTTTATTCGTCAACAAGAAAAGAGAGGAACAATCCCTAGATCGCTATGTTAGTGGACTAAGATCATCTACAAAAGATGTGGATGCTTTACAGCGGTATTGGACCTTAGATGAGGCTCCCAACCTTGTAGTTAAAGTTGAAGCTCAGTTGAGGTGTCCATCATCAATGTGGACTGCAGGTCAGGGTAGCTTAAGTGGCTGTGGAAAAGGTGGAAGTTTAGTGGCTGGACAGTCCTCACTGCCAATTCATCCTAACAGCAAGAAATTGTTGGTGTCGGGGCCCATTCTAGCCACCTATATTACCCAAATAGGAGTGCCAAAAAATGCTTTAAGTGTTCGACGATTGGTCATGTCTCTTCTCAATGCTCGAATAGAGAATTTGTTACCCTTGCTGAGGAGTTTCTTGAGAAGAACAGCAAGCTATCTTTTGATGGGGAACCTGTTTATGATGAAGAACATGAGAAGAAGAGTCAGAAGTGATATTTAGTGACCGTGGGGAGGCTTTGGCGATCCCGTGCAACATGATTACATCCCGAGTAGCAGACGTGGCAAATTGGTTAAAGACAAAGAATTTCTCATCAATTTGCATCCAAAATCAGCAAGTCATTGATTGGGACACTCCACCAAATTTTGATGAGAGTTTAGAAGAAGAAAATAGTAATCCAATTTTTGGTCAAGAACCGGGTGAAAACAAGGAATGTGACACTGATCACGATGAAAATGACAAAGTTTTGGAAGAGGCAGTCGCCAATTTCGTTTGTGAACTAGGGGTTGGAAATGATCTCGAAAATGCTCCATTAGACTGCTCTAGACCTGAACCACGACAATTTCAGCAAGGTTATATGGCTGAACCGATGTAATTTAAAACAAGTTCATGTGCCTAAACAGACTCTATTGACATAGAGTGGCCCTTTCCTTGAGGGTTTCTCAAAAGTGTTTGTGGATAAATCTACTGATTGCAAGGACTAAGTTCAGTACAATAACCCACAAGCTCCACGATCATGTTCACAATATTCAAGTTGAAGAAAATTGCAGTAATACAAATTTCATCATAGCACACTTTGAAACTCAACGATGAGTTTTTCCCAACTAGGAGAGAATGATGCAAAACAAAAATTTTCTTAAATTTTCATTTACTATTTATTGATTACTAGTCCTGATACTGTTCATAGGGTACTATTCACGGGTTACCGTTCATAGGGGTAAAATTGTTATTACAAATATTATATTTAAGTTATGATTGTATGGGCATTCACTATATTAGAACATTCAGTTATAACATATAAGAGGTGGTAGAGCCTTGAGGGGATCATTCTACATAATTTTTAGAAATTCAAAGAGAATGAAAAGCTTAGGCTTTCGGAAGCTAGCTTGGGGTGAGGAGGAAACCATAGGTTTCTCCATTTTATTGCTTGAGTTTGGCTTGTTTTCTTGCTGATTTTACTGTTCCTTCAAACTTCCCTGCATCAGACACATGGCAGATGACAACTATTAAAAAAGAAGATTGAAGATGCTAATGTAGATAAAGGTAGCCCAGTAGCATCTTTCAGCCATCATAACCGATTGGAACTCGAGAGGATGGAAGAAAGAACCAAAATTATCACAATACGTATGAAAATTCTTTTCTCAAAAGTGAATTACTTGAATGAGAATTGCTTTCCTCAAATGTCACAATAGTAAAGCAAAGTGAGAGTTCAAAGTACCGGCGACAGGTGTATATATCGTAATCATTGTGCTCCAAATTGGACTTTAGACTATAGTCTACAGTTAGGTATATGCACTTTTAGAATTAATACAATGGGAAGTTCTCACACAAACCCTCACTAGCTTAATGTAAAAATAGAAAAGAAATAAAAAATAAAAAGACTAAAGCATCTTTTAGGCCATAGTTTACAGGCATACAGCTAGTTGACCTGTTGGGGGACTGGAAGATGATAGTCTCTCTCCAATCCCTACTCAGCAACAAAGCTTTCAGTGGTTTGATACCCCTGGGAGGGTCACTGAAGCTAAATTTTAATGGGAGTTCGAGAGCTAATCCATGAGTTGGGAGGGCTTTTTGATATATTCAGAAAGACAAAATCATTCTTTCCTTCTCTGGTCTAATAGGGTATTGTGCTTCTACATTAGTAGAGGTGAAAGCATTACTTGTAGGAATGTGACCATGCGCTCAGAGAGCATCTGATCTATCACTGATGAAGGTGATAGTGTCAATGTCATCAATTGGCTACTGGGACCTTGACTCCACCCTAGATATTGAAGGTAATTTTGGCAGATTTCAGACATTGATGTAACTTGTACCTTTCATCACATATTGCAAGACGCTAGTAGGGACACTAATGCTCCAACTATTGTCGGAGTGACACATGGAACAAGTTTATTCTGTTTGGAGCTGATTTTATACGTCACCTCAACATCTTCCAAGAGCATAGCATGTACACATTCTGATTGATAATAAATACATCACCTCAACATCTTCCAAGAGCATAGCATGTACACATTCTGATTGATAATGAAATACACCGCTGCTGACCCAAGAAAGAAAAAAGAAAAAAAGAATAAAAAGAAAACATCAAAACAATATTCATCAGAGGATCCTTAAGCACAATTATACTACAAATACAAAAAATAATGTGTATAACCCAGCCATTTTTCAGTGACTTGAATGAAGTTGATGACAAAATTTCAGTGCAACACAAATCAAATTACAGAGGTTCTGCTGGTCCAAAAAATAGTAATATGAAAATAGGACATCAGAAGTAATAGGATAACTTGGCAAGCAGCGATATTTCATTAAGATATTCTTTTGATAAAAAAAACTGCTAAAAACCTAGGAATCAAGCATGGACTGGAGTGGTTAGTAGTTGATATTAGCACCGCAACATCTCAATTTTGATTTATCCCGTTGAATTACCAACCACCTCTCCCCCTCCCCCTGCACAACCCCCAACAAAAAAAGAAAAAAGAAGAAAAAAAATGCTAAAAATCCTACAAGTCATCAAAATACCAAAAATCCACTATCATTTTCAAGGAAATCTTACCGATAGTGAATTAGGATCCGCGGCACTAGTTCCAGCAACAAAAGGATCCACTAGATAGTCAACAACCTTCAAACACATTTATACACATGGTGGAGGTAACTCAATGATAATGTAACCACTTCTTGGAGAAAAAATCTAAAGAAACAAACGCATTATGGGACTTAAGTAAACCACACAGGAAATGAAACCATACCTCCTGTCCAAAGTGACGTTGAAAGAAATCCCCAACACTGCACTTCAAAAGTAACGGTAGATAGCAATATTGTAAGAACAAGTTATTCTAATTTTCTTATGCACACAAACAACATAAAAGAAGAGATTGAGCTAGTAAAATATGGCTAGAATAAATGTGGTATGACTTATATTTATTATTTTGTCATCCACCTAAGCCATTTTCTATTAACAATAGCACATTAAGAGCACATAAAACCACCTTCAAGGAAATTTGTAAGTATATATATGTTAGATATAAAACCAGCTTTTCATTTTTTTTTTGTGATCAAAACCAAATTGACCTAGTTTTTCTTGCCGATCTAATTATGGTAGGATGAACTAAGCATGCCATCCAGAATGGCTTTAAATTGTTATGCACACATACCGAATATGATTAATTGGTAACTATTGGACTTGAGAATTGTATGAAAATATTTCTTTATCTTTTTTCTCTTGTTCTAGATCTTTTACATAGTCTATAGACTTTTGGGGGTTTTACATGAAGTATACTTTATATAGTCTCTAGGCATAACTTTGATACGTGTCTAGAAACACCTAGCTGTCTGACGCTGCCTTGACAGTTGAGAGATGGATCAAATCTTGCAGTCATAATCGTGCCTGAGCCATATTTCTTAAGGCATGAATATGGCCTGATAAGTTTTTTGGCCTATCTCCCAGCGATCCAATCAAAATTGGATGACAGGGTGCATAATTATTAATTGACAATAAGAGAAAAAGAATGAAATAGAAAATAACATTTGTAAATTACAAGAAGGGTATATAGCTGCAAATTACAGGATAATGAGAAATAGTATAAAATGAAGGTGCACTAGAAATGGGATAAACCAAAGAGGAGTACAACCTCCTACGGTAACAATAAATAAAAGATTATCAGTAAATACAAATACCAAATAGAGGTTTTCATATACATCATGCAATCAATCTAGATATTCTTGGAAATGGTCATTTCACAATGTTAATCTTTAAGGTTATTAATTTTTATCTATTAAAGGTCCACAACATTAGAAATGTGTGAAAGCTTTTTGATAAAATATTGCCACATAAGCCCATGCTGCGACAATGTTAGTTCAAATGTTACACTTGAATTTCTCAAAAGAGCAACTTTGAATTCCTTATTTTTTTCTCATGTCCTATCTTGGAACCTGTGGCCTACTGTTAATAGAATAATTTGGTTCCCATCATGGAAAAATCAGTAGATTAATGCATCTACATTTCTATAAAAGATGGTGACAACAATTGCAATTTTACTCATGAACAACTTGTGCTTTTTCAATATTGTTTATAACCCTACAATAGTTTTTGAAATAATGACATAATAGTCATTATTGTTGTGTTTTGTGGCCTTCAAAAGCCTAGAAATCTTGTAAAAATGATAATTTCTAGTGGAATGTGTGATGACTGACCATAGGTTGGGCAGTTTTGGTTATGTCCAAAACCCTTAGCTACAGGGTAGGGGCCCAAAACGCTACTGATTCAGCCAAAAAAACAAAAAAACCTTGCCTGTAGGCATGTGGCACTACCGAGAAGGGTTTATAGTGGGTCATCCCTTGTTGAGGTTGGACATATGCTCAGGGATGTATTTGTAGGCTAAGAGAACTGTATGGTCACTTGTGTGCGGTTGTTGGTCTGTGCGAGCCAAAACCTCAACACACTTCCACACGGCATGCACACTTAACAACCACATTACTAGGAAGTAGCCCTATAGAGGGACATGTGTACATTTGTATAGAAAGAGCGAGCCCCCTTTGCACTGTCGTGATAATTGTTGGATTTGCTCTTAAAGGGGAGCTAAAATCCACATTCCAAGATCATAGTTCCACTGTTTATTGACCAATTTCGACAAACCAATCATGAGCCCTGCATTGAAATGATGAGTCATGCATCTTTGCAGGGTTAGATGAAAAAGCAGTAGCTGATTATGGTTCTTGGGGCAAGTGGATGGCCCTTATTATCCCTAATTTTGACCCGTTGGTACCAGTCCACTTCTAAATATTTTATTTTTGACATTAGAAATGTTTTGTGATTTTTACAATTTTTTTTAATTTTAAAAAATTTATATATGCTATAAATTCAGTAAAAAGGGTAATTTTGACATTTTTAGAATAAGAATGGGCATATGTGGGGACCAAAAATCCAGCCCCACATGTGTGTAGCACCCATGAGTGGGATGTGTGGCATTGTGGGGGCCACATAATGCACATAGGGTGGCACGCCCCACTTATATTTATCTTATGTGCCACATTTAATTAAAAGTTTTAGTTAGTTCGAGAATCTTTTAAAATTTCCTTGTGGGGACCACATAATGCAGATAGGGTGGCATGCCCCATTTATATTTATTTTATGAGTTCTAGTTAGGGAATCTTCTAGAATTAAAAAGACTTGATTTCCTATTTAAGTGGGAGTTTTAAAATAAATGATTATCTTTGACTTCCAATAGATTTTGGAAGATCTAGTTAATACTAAAAGTGGTTATAATTCAATTTTAAATAGAAGTTGGACTTGTGTCAAATAATAAGGGGATATGGTTTCTAGTTTCCACCCAAAATCATGATGGCTGATTATTGCGATGGATGGCTCAGATCTAGTCTCTCACTCCACAAATTTCTTAATATCCTAATGGTCAACCTGGGCAAATAAGATAAGGCATACCTAAAAAAATCCTAATCCAAGTGGGAGATAGATTTCTTTCTATTAAAATAATATCTGAACCTCTCAAATTTAATTTAATAACCTCTCAAAAGTCAAAACAAATGAATTAATATTTTCATACATTATTTGGGTAGGACTGCCACGTGATGATGTAAATGTGCAATATTTTTTGCGAGAGACTCCTTTCTCATTTTATTAAATGGGCAAATGTGTTGAGAAACATGTATGGTATAATATGCATATGGATAATATATTATTGCAATTATTATAGATAAACACCTTTCATATTTCAGCATGTCAGACTACAAACCTAAAAAATGATAGACGTCCAATCCAAACCTCAAAGCAAGAAAAGAATATAAATCTCAAATAGTACGCTCCCTCAGGTGTATACTCCTACAATTAAAAATTCCAAGCTCAATTTTTTAGAGAAGACTCAGTTGGCAATTCAAAAGTGCATCTTAAAATTTGAAATTTAAAAAATACTTTTCAATAGGTATTTTTTGGATATGGTCCCACAAAACATTTGCCATTTTCTTTTCGACAACGAAAACTTTGGCCCAATCATTTTTCAGCCTAGTGTGAACATGCTCTGTGTCAATGAATGTTGAACCTCGAATGATTGTGTGCTCCCTCAGTAAATCTACATAGGATCTTAAAAAATTCAAAATTTATTTATTTATTTTTAAAAAGATAGTCATGTGGTGATTCATATTACACCTAAAAAATTTAGATATAGAAAATAATTTTCGGCATGACTAACATGATGGTGGTATAAGACTAATGGGCTAGAAATGCAATCTTTTAAAAAATTTCCGTTGTAAAAAAACTTAAAGGGTTTAAGTGCATGAATATCTCAATACAAAACCATAATACATATATTCCAGCTTATAAACATGGTTTATATACATTTAAATAATAAAATTCAACCCTAATAGGTCCCTTACAAATCCCTTAATCAAAAATACAATTAAACTTAATACAATATTCAAATACTCACAATGCACATCTCTACAACATATTGCATGAATTGCATTCGCAATTCCTCATTATATCAAAATTATATGATAATTCCATCTTCATTATTCATCCTCATCATATATCACAATGTCTCATATACATCATACACTTGATCATAATAATCCAATAAGATTTCAATTCGCATAAACAATAATGCATAGCATTAAAGCTCATACCGCAAGATTAAAGAACAATCTCAATATTCACACAACATACTCAAGTTAACCAATCATGAATCCATTTAATAACTGTAAATACACAAATTAACATGCAAACATACATGGGGAAACCATGGTTCGAACTCCATGTGCTCAGGCCACGAAAAGGCCTTTTGAAGACTTAACTTTGTCCCAATATCTAAGGCATAGGTGATAATAATAACTCAATGAGATCAATCCAATGGGAAGTGAATGATCACTTTTATTTCATATAATGCGGATCAAATCATGAGAGCGATATGTATCAAAATAGCCCTTTAAAGTTTGAGATAGATACTACACAAAATAAGGAAGTTATGGTGAAACTATACCATGTGGTCCATAAGGGACCACACGAACTCTTCAACATTCAAAAAAGAACTCAAGGGACTATTTCATATGCTCAAATATGATAAAATACACCTTGCATCAGTTGTATATTCTCAGTAAAAATTCCAGAAAAATAAGATCAAGAAAATCGAGTTGAAACCACTCAAGATGATGGAGTAAGCAACCTAGTCTACACATACTATGTGTATGGACTACATTATTGCTTGGGACTCTTCAAATATCAAGTTTTCATGACCAAAAATGAAGAAAGATACGGCAAATTAAGAATTACAGCAAGCTTTGATAATGGCAGTGAGGTAGGAATTAAAATATAAGAAGAAAAAATCAATACCTTAATGAAGCAATAGTCTGGGCTTGATCACATAAATGAGGGACTACTCCATGGACGGGCTTCCAATGAAAGCTCAAGGAAGAAGATAGTCTCATGGGTGGCTACATTTTTGCCAGGGGGGCTCTCTCTCTCTCTCTTTGAAGTGAATACACAAATTAGGGTACTAATTGATCTCATAAGTTATTTTTATACTTAGATCATAAAGATGGATTTGATCTTGATCCTTGATGCCTTAAGATCAATGGCACATGAGAGACTTTTATCCAAGCCACTCATCCATATCTTATCATGAAGATCAATGGATAAGCTTTTGACACCTTTCACTCCTTAAAACCTAGGTTTATAGTCCATTTACCTTAAAGCCCTTAGCTCCATGATTTATTTCCCATTAAGTCCAAATTAATGTTTACACTTATACTCATGGTTTTTTAATAATTTGTGAAAATCA